GGAGGAAAAAAACAATATACAATGCAACAGTAATATCCTATTCACTCATTTCCATCCTCAATATCTTAATTCATGCATAGTACTTGGTTTCACATATGTTGGGGATGTGAGGGTGAGAGAATAGAGGGAGAAGAAAGAAAAAAATCTCAAAGGAGGAAACATGGACTGTTTTGGTTGGAGATCAGTGTCTTTCCTGCTTCCCTACTCATCCAATAGGTGGGGTCGTCTGCTGTTAGCTGGTATCTCTGCCCTCAGGATGTGAAGGTAATCAGGGAGGGAGGGTTGGTCCTGGGTGGAGGGCACCTGGAAGTGGGGTGTGGCACCCCCTGGTCCCCAAGGGGAAATTTCACCTCAAGGATTTTTGGGGGGTCTTGCTCCTGTGATGTGGTCTTATCTCCTTATCTCACCTGGAGCCCTTCCAGTTCCTGGCCTCTGTGTTACTCTCTAAACTGTATCACACTCACCCTCTCCCTTATTGCTTCCTAATACAGGACCTTTGTCTCCAGGGTTCTTGTGTGTAGTGTTTTGTGTGCCTTGCTCACCTATCTTGCTGAGAACTGTTTTGTGTCAGGCCGTTATTGTGGTAGGTTAGCAGCTGCTGGGGAGAGGGGGGAGTTAGAAACTGGGTACCTGGCCAGATGGAGTTCCAAACTGGGAATTGCCCCTACTAAAGATGATGATGAAAGTGACCCAAGATGGAGGCAGCTGCTTTCAGTGATGGGGTGTTGGGTCACGTGGGGGTAGCCGGGTTATGGAGTTAGACAATGAGTTCAAAGACTGTGGCATGCAGTGTGTGGCTGTGGCTTTCTTCAGAGCCTGTGTAAAGTTCCCTGGTTCAGGCAGGGTGCAGGCAGGCTACATCATGTAGGGGACTATGTTGCTGCAGAGTCCCAAGATGGAGGGGACCGGGGGAGCCCCATGTTGGTTGATTAGGGTCCTCACAGGAGTGGCGGCTGGAGATGTTGCGTGTGGGTAACTGTTGGGTGTCCTGTGTGGGAGCTGCATCTGGGATTTCTGCTGGGGTGGGTGGCCGAAAGTTTTGCTCTGGTGCTGGTGCTGATGGTTCCGCTGGGCACCTGGTAGTCCTGTGTGGGTAAGTAGTTGTGAGACCTACTTTGATGCTGAGGTCTGGAGCCATGCACAGGCACAGTGGCTGTGATTCCTGTGCAAAAGTAGGAATATCCCTTGCAGAGATGCAGAATTCTCACTTCTTGAGTCCCAGGTCACAGAGCAACACAGAATGCTGCCTTCCTCTGGCCCGCCATCTTGAAATATCCTCTTGGCATTTTTCTTATTGGTACTTTTTTTTTCCTTCAGCAGATCTCTTTTTTGAGGTAGTAGTTGTACTGATACATATATAATCATTTACTTCCAACTTTTAGGAAACAGTTTTAAAGAGATGAGTGAAACACCAATGTGATACCCAATTACAGGGCTGAGAGATTAGAAATTAAATCTAGCTCACAATAAAGCTAAAATGTGTATTTGTTTCTATGTGTTTTGATCCACTCTTGCATTGTTTTCTTTTATAAAAGTCATGGGCTCTACCAGAGTGGGAGAAAATGCATCCCAGAGGTACACACAGGCTGAGTTGTAAATGGTAGAACAGTTGTTATGTGTGTGGCTCAACCACTGTAAACATTCAAAGATGTGTCAGAGATCTGGCTCTTCTAGAAGCACTAAAGATGCTATCCAGATAGCATCTGGGAACAACATATAAAATACTATTATTAATATAGATACACATGCTATTAACCATGTAGTCCAAAACCTCAAAGTTGTTCTCTCCCATATTATTAAATTCACTATAGAGCATGAGAGGTTGTAAGCCCACAATATCTGTGTGTAGATTTGGTTTATATAACTTGTTTTTGGAGCTAATTGGTATAAATCATAATTGGAAGTTTCCACATTTTTCTAATCTAAATACAATACAAATATGGGACTAAGGCCCAAATAGTCTAGAACCTCTAAAGATATCTAAGCACACTTCTGGCTCTAGGTTTCCTAACATCTCTTTCAGAACTTTGTAAACAACTGCTATATTATAGAGGGAAGTAGAATGTAAATGGCCAAGAAGTAAAACAGGGAAGTTCCAACAAAGAATAAGGGAAACCTGTTCTAAATTGCTCAATCAGCCCTTTTTCAGAGGATGGTATCTTTCATACTGGTTTATCTGTGAAAAGTGAAAGAGTTTTGAAGAACATGGATAACTGAGGAAGAAGGAAAGAAAAGGAGGTTAAAGAGGCGAAACCATATATCATTCCAATCAAATGAATGTGCATGACTTTTTACTTCTTCAAAGAAGGAGTAAACGTGGACCATGAGCTGTGAGCTACATTTTGACATTTTTTCTATTTTCTTTGAACCCTGCTTCTTTTCCCAAAGAAGGAAACATTCGACTTCTTACTCTCTTAATTTGCAAAGGAATTTATCTAGACTACTTGGATACTTTTTAGAATGCTAAAAAATTGGGGGCAGTATATTGTTAAATGAATGTTCTTAAATTTTTGTATTTTCTTTTTGGTACTCGGGCTTGAACCCATAGGTACTGAACCACTGAGCCACATCCCCAGCCCTTTTTTATATTTTTATAAAAAATACATTGATACAGGGTCTTGCTGAGTTGCTCAGGGCCTTACTATATTGCTTAGGTTGACTTTTAATTCAATCCTCCTACCTCAACCTCCCAAGCCCCTGGGATTACAGGTGTGCACCACTGCAACTGGCTGTTCTCAGAATTAAATGGCATAGATAATAAAGTATATCTCTAATAACACAAGCATCTTTTCCTTGGTAAAGGTCTAGAGAACTTTTTGATGACCTACATCAACACTATCAGTGAGGATTTGCCCTTTATTGAGAACACAGTCCTGGCCCTGCCCAGACAGAGAATGCAGCTGCAATAAAAAAGGTTCTTGCCCACTATGACAGGCTGATGGGCCAGAAGGTACAGCTGCCCACAGATACCCTCCAGGAGCTGCTGGACCTGCACAGGGCCAGTGAGAGAGAGGCCATAGAAATCTTCACAAAGAACTGTTTCAAGGATGAGGACCAAAGTTTCCAGAAGCAATTATAGGTAACTGTTTTTCTAGTTCATGGGCATTAGGGTTAATAGAAAAGAAAGCTTTGCTCTGAAAGGTATAATAAAACCTGTTTAAGAAAAGCAATTCCTATTGGACTCTAAAATGATGGTCACTTATGTGGCCACATTATCACTCTCATTCTGAAAACAAACAAATGTATAAAAGTACTCTGGACTTTTAGCATCTGAAATTTTCAAATGTTCACACAACCTTCCCCATGTTACACCAATTGGCTAATTTGAATTGATTTAATTCCTTTAAAACATTGTATTTACAAAATATTAAACACATTGCATTTACAAAGTATTGAGTACATCCCTTTATATCATTATATTTACAAAGTATTTTTTATTAATAAAGCAGAAAGAATTTCCCTTTGGATCAACTAAAGTATAATGTATCCAGGATTAATTTAGTCACCTACATCATTCCAGCTAATTATTCACTTCTACCTTCTCCTTGAGGGTGGAAAACACTGAAGTCAGAAATGATGGAAAAGTAGGCTGCATTTAAAACGAGGGCTTGAGGTTAGAGGTCTGTGGTCAAAAGATCACCTCTAAAGCAGAAATTGAAATAGAGTGTTTTCAGAAAATTTCACACCCGAAAGTAAATGTAATTTTTCTTTTTTCTTTTTTTTTGGGGAGAGGGGATGGGTGGGTAACTGGGAATTGAACTCAGGGGCACTTCACCACTGAGCCACATCCCCAGCCCTATTTTGTGTTTTATTTAGAGACAGGGTCTCATTGAGTTGCTTAGTGTCTCGCTTTTGATGAGGCTGGCTTTGAACTCCCGAACCTCCTGCCTCAGCCTCCCAAGCCACTGGCACACAGGCATGTGCCACTGTGCCCAGCTAAATGTCATTTTCCATAGACTCTCAAATCCTTGAAACTTTTTCAGGAAGGGCACAGTCTTGCTTATATTCCTTGAAGTTTCTTAAACAAAAAAAAAAAAAATAGAGATTTGCTTTAATATAAATTCCATAAATACTGAGGTGTGGCTAATATCTCTGAGGGTTCCTGTCCCTTTGAAGACCCTATTAGATGCAAAGCAGAAAGACATTTGTAAGCAAATGAAGAAGCCTCTTCAGATCATTGCTCAGCTTTCTTCAGGATATTTTTGGTCCTCTGGAAGAAGTGGTGAAACAGGGGCTTTATTCTAAACCAGGAGGCCATAACCTCTACCTTCAGAAGACAGAGAAGCTGAAGACAAAGTACCACAAGCAATTCAGGAAAGGAATACAGGTATTCCTGGTTTTATCTATTAATTATGATAAATCCTGGGGCCCCTCTTTAACAAAAACCATTGAGAACAGAAGAAAGGACATGTGTACAGGAACAGAGATGAGATTGATGTCTCATCTGGCTCAGACTTACTCTGTCACTGAGCATGCCTGGGAATTATGTGCCTGGTATTTAGTTTCACATGTTTAAGAAAGCAATTCCAACTAGACTGAAATGATGGTCGCATTCCAATGTTCAAATAGCATCAGCGGTTGTCTGCTTCCTTTTTTCTTTCCAATTCCTACTTCATTAGTGTGCTCCATTCTCCTGACTATTGGCTTCATTTTCAAGTAAACTCACCCCACATGGCTACAAAGAGATACCGCTGGGTCTAAGTCCAGCCTATCTTTATAGCCCTGGTGACAGAGCAGGTGTCTTTGCCAGCACCCATATCAGCCTTTACGACATTCAAGTCATAGTATTTTTCCTCCTGTGAGCAAGTGGCCTTGGGTGCTCTGATTGGCCCAGCCAGGTTTGGGACCCCACCTGTGGAGAGGCTTGATGGACATCTCCATCAGGTGCAGGCAGAGCGCCTTCTAAGAGGAAAAGATGTTTGATGGAAAAGGAATCATGATTTTATCATATTGCCAATCACCATTGCCAGGTTCTAACTGCATGTTTTTGGGGTTCCTAGGCTGAGGAAGCTCTGCAAAAGTATTTAAAGTCCAAAGAGTCTGTGAGTAAAGCTGTTCTACAGACAGACCAGGCTCTCACAGCCAAGGAAAAGGAGATGGAAGGTGAGAAGAGAACAGAAGTAATGCAAAAAAGACAAGAAATATCCAGAAATTTGAAATTCATGTGTCCTGGCCTAGCTGAGATTATTCACCTGAAGCAAGACAGACAAAGAAGCTTCTTATTACCTCAGGTGGTATCTGAATATGGCAGGATCAGCTGCAGATGGTTATCTGGAAGGAAAAACAATGGCAGGGAATTTTCTCTATGGGTTAGAACAATAATGAATGAGAACAGGAGGCCCAAGGGAGGGACAAAGCTGTCCTAGAAGGTTTATCTATTTTTTCTTTCTCTTCAGAGGCACGTGCAAAAGCAGAGGCTGCCAAGGCTGAAGCAAAAAGTGTGGAGGAGATTCGTAGGCATATGCAGCAAATGATGGAAGAGAAGGAGAGACTCCATCAGCAGCAACTAAGACAAATAGAAATAGAAAGAGCAAAGTGTCTGGCACAGCAACAGTTGGAGCAGGAACGTCGTCTGCGGGTATTGATCAATTGTTGCATCTCAGTACTGTGTTTCTGTCCCTTCCCTATAGGGATAAGACTGTGAAAGAGTAGCCATGGGGGAGATTCAGACTACTAGGGTGGCTAAGGGTAGGGACCCTGTAGCTGGACAGCTAGGTGTGCATCCATCCGAGCTCTACCTTTACCAAATGCATTGTTTAAGCAAGTTATCTATGTCCTCTGTGTCTTTTCTTCTTGTCTAGAATGGAAATGGTGGTTACACATATTTTCTAAGGGTATTGTCATAATGAAATGCATTAGTATTTGCATTTAGAATGGTTTTTGGCATAGAGTAAGAATATGAATTTTAAGTATAAACCATGGTATTTCTGTCCCACAATAACTAGCTTTTTCTATTAATTTTTTAATTACTCTGGACAATTCTTTACTCTGATCATGCTTTTTTATGTCAATTTCATATTTCAGTGTCTTTGCTCTTGTCCTTGCTTCAATCATATCTGGTTCTGATGGCCTTGAACTCAGTGCTTATTTCACCAAGTCCTTTAGTTTATTATCACTCAATAAGCAGCAGTTCTTATTTCCCACATGCTGTACAAAGCCCTCTGCATGCATTCACTCATCTAATCTGTTTACCGTGAAGCAGAACTGTTCTGTCCCCAGTTTATATGTGGTAAATGAAGCCCCAAGGAGATAACTAAAGGCCATTATCTCATAGTCTTCTGAGTGCCTTTCCAGTGAGTGGGATCTACAGTGTTGCTGCTACCAAAATCCTTTAGGGAATTCCTATGTGAGCCTCTGATGAGACAGACAACACCCCAATCTTCCCTCTGGCTTATCGGGGAACCTGCAGGTATCTGTTTTTCAGTAACTGCCCTAGAGTATTTGGGAGATTGCAGCTCTCTCCTGAAGGCCATTATGGGCAAACTCTGGTGTTTGATCTCCTCAGATTTTCTTGTATTTTTCCCTCCAAAGTGTGGTGACCTAGAACATGTCCTCATCTAAGGCTCAGATGCCTCCTGGCTGCATATCACCTAGACATTCTGTTTTTGTGACAATATTTCTTCTTAAAAACACAATTAATATTTTTCTAAAAATGAAAAAGAAAGTTGGGAAAGAGGATTGAGGTCAAGATGTGACCAAGATTACTCAAAGAACTTGTGTAATGTAAATGGGAAGGGAGCCTTAGGATGGAATTCTAGGGACAGCAATATTTCAGGGACTGAAACAATGTTTCTGGATGTAGATGAAGAGTAGTAGTGTGAATAACTTCAGAAGTAAGCTGGAGTAAGTGAATGGAGCAGGGAGATTCAGGGACTGTTTACTGTTCCTGTGGATTAAAGGAAATAAGGACAAATCAATAGTTTAGACAATCAGAATGAAGCGGACCTTACTTTTTGCTAAGTATTAGTGTGTCTATTTTTTCACTTAGGAAGAAGCCCAAAAGCTCAAGTTGATGCATCAGGCTGAAATGTCAAGGTTTCAAGACCAGATCCAGCATATCCACAGAACAATGTCTGAGCCACAAGCTGCTCGATGTATCATTCTCTAAAATACATCAAAGCTTCCTTATTTCTTTTCACTAAAGACACAAAGAAACAAGAAACTAAAGAACTTGGAACAATCAACATTTAAATAATCCTAAAGCCTTCTGCCTAGTCTTCTAATTTGTCTCTAGATATTGCAAGTCACCCAGGCGTCTAGGTATCGCAAGTTATCACATGGGCTCAGTCAAATGGAACAGTACCCTGTTCAGCATCACTACTGCTTATGGTCATGTGCTGGATGCCATCACAGGGAGGCACCAATGGTACCATGGAACAATCCACAGTTCTTACCTGGTTGGAGACTGCTATACTATGGGCAGTGGTGCAAATCAGCACTCTCAGTTGGCCTTCTGCATAGAGAAATTCCAAGTTCAAAGGAAACAATGTTAACATGAAATGGAGATCTTTAGAGGATGAAAGGAAATACTACTATGGAAATTGTGTCATAGGCTTAAGGACTAAACAAAAAGCTTTTTCCTTTTCTCTAATCCTCACTAATTCATAACTTATAATAGGTAACAACTTACATGTGACTTAATATTTTTGCATTACATATTTATAATCCTTTAGAGCTTGTAAATAGGAATCATAAGTAATAATGTGTAATGAGCCCAAGTTCTGATGGTGCTCATAGAATGAGTTTGGAAGGGTTCCTTCCTTTTCTATTTCATGCAATCCTTTGAGGAGTATTGGCTTTAATTTTCCTTTGAAGATCTCATGGAACTCGGTTGAGAATATGTCTAGTCCTGCTTTCTTAATTGGTTGGCTTTTGATGGTGTTTTCTATTTCATTACTTAAAATTGATCTGTTTAAATCATGTATGACCTCCTAATTCAGTTTGAGTAGGTCATATACCACTGCAAATTTGTCAGTGTCTTTGATATTTTCTATTTTCTTGGAGTATAATTTTTCAAAATAGTTTCTAATTATCTTCTTATTTTAGATGTGCCATTGTGATATTTTCTTTTTCATCATATATTTTAGTAATTTGAATTTTTCTCTCTTTTTCTTTTTGTTAGCATGGCTTATCTATTTTGTTTATTTTTTCAAAGAACCAACTTTTGGTTTGGTCAATTTTTTTCAGCTGTTCCTTTGTTTCAATAACATTGATTTCAGCTCTGATTTTAATTATTTCTTATCTTCTACTACTTTTGGTGTTGATTTGTTCTTTTTCTAGGACTTTGAGATGTGATGTTAAGTCATTTATTTGTTGACTTTTTATTCTGTTAATGAATGAGCTCAGTGCAATAAACTTTCCTCTTAGTAGTGCCTTCATAGTGTCCCAGAGATTTTGATATGTTGGTAATGTCTCTTGAATATACATATCATCAATGAAAGAGAATAGAACATGAAAAAAAAAACTATATCGGAAGTATGGAGGGTAAAGATGGACTTTTAAATAGGAAGAGACAACTACATGGCCACTCAGAAAAAGATCAAATCAGAACTAGCCTTTACATCGTTCACTAATAACAACAACAACAAAAGGTTTGAAGTGTAAAGATATAAAACACATTTTTAAAAACAAGGTGTTTCTTTTAATGAACCTATAGGAGAGGGCCTTTCTGTGAGTCAAATCTATTTTGAAATGTCTCTTGATCTCAACTTAATCAGTTACAACAAAATCTCTTGATCCTTTCAAAGCAAGATTTGAACAAATTACATCCCCTTCCTGTTTTTCAAAATTATGAAATATGGCATATTCAGAGGAGTGCATCAAATCTAAAGCATATAAATGATATAAATTACAAAACCACACCCTAGACATAAATTCACCATTGCTAAAACCTCAAAGGAGTGCGTTAACAACCTCTGACAGCCCTGGTAGAGACAACCAGTATCACAACTTTTGAATTCCTGCTGGATTTTATCATATACATTTGATGTCTGAAATAAGATAATTTAGTTTGACTCCTTCCATATGAATCTGATTTTGTTGGTAAGATTTCCACAGAAGATTTCTCTAATAAAGCAGAAGGAGTCCTTTAAAATTACATGTTAAGTCTCTAGCAAGAGCTATAATAGAGAGAGAGGAAGAGAACTGATGCCTGACCAACCATGTATTTGGTTTCCCAGATTCACAGTTGGAGAGGAATTTCTACCCAGGATGAATCACACCTGCAATCTTACTCCCTCCCACCTGGTTTAGATGATATTCAGATGATATTTTGGATTTTGAGTTGATGCTAGGATAAGTTAATACTTTGGGGAATGTTGGGATGGGACAAATGTATTTTGCATGTGAGAAGGACATGAGCTTTGTGGACCCAAAGGGAGAACAGTAGAATTCTTTTTTTTTTTTTTTTGACAGTTCTAGCAAGCTAATGTGACAAGGAAGCTTGTTTGCCATAACTCGTTGAATTTTTTTCTCATTATATGATGATGAGAAAGTTTTCATATGATGCAGTTCAAAATGTTACCAGAAGTCTCCTGTTATTGTTTTGATTTTCTATTGACAATAATATTAAGAAAATAGCTGATATTAGACTAGAGTCGTAGAATCCAGCACAATCTCTAATATTGTAAAGGAAGCCTAAGTGAAAAGAAGCTCCCCTTGCTCTTTGTGCAATTTATCTATCTTGGAGATACAGGTGTTGTTTTAGGGTTACGGAATCTTTAAAGCAAAAGCTAAGGATAGGATGATGCTCATGATGATGGCAATGATAAGATACATGATAGTAACATGAGCCCACATCCATGAATTCATGTTTTGAGCTTGTGAACAGAATTTCTTTATTTTATCTATAAGGCTGAAAGGTGAGGATGCAAAGAGCAAAGTTCATATGTTACTGAAAAGAGAGTGGGCATTTTTAAACATGATTGTATTTACTCACTGAAAAATATATATTGGACTGTGTGCCAGACCCTAGTGAAGGTATTGAGGATACAGTGATTAGCAGAAGAACAGCCATGGTTCTTCGGTTTTAGTACTTTACAAGTAAGATATTAATAAATGTAAAATATCAATTTCTGCTAAGCATTGCAAGTGAACAATTCAGGGTGTTATGAGTAAGTATAGAAAGGAGACCCAATTAAGATTAGTTGGTCAGAAATATTTCCCTGAGGAAAAGAGACTTATATGGTGAATTTTTAATGAGTACAATGTGTTCAGGAAAGAAATGAGGAAAACAAGTTCCAGGCATGGTTGGTCAGGATGAAAGTTCATGTGGTGAAAGATAGACTGGATATATATGGAAAGGGACAAGGAAGATAGTTCAAACAATAGAATGGTATAAAACAGGAAGCTTTATTCTATCAAGCAAAAAAAAAAGTGACAAGACACAGTTTTTGTTTTTAAGTCATCATGTTTATTGCATGGAGGTGAGTTAAAGACACTCAGATGTGATTATAAGTTATGATAGCCCTGGCAATGGGCCTGATCTGCAGGCTGTTTTTGGAAGCTCAGTGCCACATGCTTGTAAAATAGCAGCAAAATAGGCCTATGTTGGATGTCTGATGTGTGGTGTTTCTCCCTTCTTCCCTCCACGTTGCATACACTTTCAGATATTCTGTTTTAAAATGACCTAGCAGAAGTATTTTTCCAGCCAGGAAAATGACCTCTTGATTCATTGCAGGCCTATTTGAAATGGCTTTTCCTGGAATGCAATTCAGATTGAAACCGAAAGCAACAAAGAATTATTTGTGTAACTGGCCAGTTCTGGGAAATGAGTTGGTCTTCTCTTGTAGCAAAACAAGAACTTAAAAAAAAAATCTAAGCGGACCTCGTCAGAATTAGATATCAGAATATTGAGGTCAGATCAAGTTTTTCAAAGTGAGCTTAGGAGAGTCTCTTACTCACTGGTAAATATGTATTGAACTGTGTGGCAGACCCTGGTGAAGGCATTAAGGATACAGTGATTAGCAGAACAGCCATGGTTCTTGGATTTTAGTAGTTTACAAGTAAGATATTAATAAATATTGAAGTATTGAAGGACTACCGAACTACTATTCTTATGCAGAGGCAAACCCTCCTCAGAGACCACCCTCTTCCCATTGGGACCATTTGAATTTTGCAGGCCAAAAAATTTCATGGCATGTGTAGCACTGCTTCTTGGAAACTTCACCCAAGCCCAGAATTCTCCTATTTTAACTTCAATAGTTTGGCACTGTCCTCCTGTGGTTCATTTTGTTATACAGCTTTTCAAATAAGTGAGTCTGTTCTCTACATCTCTCACTGGGCACACAGCCTCCTGCCCTCTAGTAGCAGAGAGGCTACTGAGATATCATATTATAAAGGATAAAACAGGATTATTATTTTTACACTTGACCCTAAAATTCTTGATATAAGGGAAATACTGATCTCTATAAAACCCTGACATGCCCTTGAAGCAAAGGTAGCGAATATAGAGTGATGATTATTAGAAGAAACCAACCAGCAAAAAAATAAATTTATGCCATATATTTTTGAAAGAAAAATTTTATTTTGGGGCTGGGGATGTGGCTCAAGCGGTAGCGTGCTCGCCTGGCATGTGTGTGGCCCGGGTTCGATCCTCAGCACCACATACAAACAAAGATGTTGTGTCCACCGAAAACTAAAAAATAAATATTAAAAAATTCTCTCTCTCT